GGACGGGTCCTTGGAGAGGGACATCATGCTTGGGAGGGTGGAGGGACAGCGCAGGAGGGGAAGACCCTCTATGGGATGGATTGACTCGGTGACTGGGGTAATCGGGATGGGTGTGTCAGAAGCAGTGCGGTTGGCGCAGGATAGAGCAGGGTTTAGGGCTGTTATGCAAAGGGTCCCTATGAGTCGAAAACGACTCAACGGCACATAACAACAACAACAACAATATTAATACAAAAATGGCCTCAAAATTTAACTATTTTGAAAATTTTTTAGGCAAGATCTAATCAATTTGAGGGTAAGAATACATATTCATTATATATTAAATTCAACAATAAATGTTCATGAAAACATAATATACTGGCAACATATAAGCTAAAATCTTAGCAAGGAAGACCAAATGAAGCCATTATCATTTTCAATCCTCTTCTCTTTGACTTTCTCTCTTCTTGGATAAGTACCAATTCTTTACTTTCACAAATATGTAAGAGTCCCTATGTCTTGGAAGAAAAACCTTGTGAGCTACTTTTCATTTAAATCCTAATCAGTTGCCATTAAGTCCATGCCAATCAGAGCAACCCCACATTGTTACAGTGACTGAAAACTTTACAGAGGTCATCTCCACTCCGAAATATGTGGGATGCCATTAGTTTGAATCGACTCAACATCAACAAGCTTTGGGGTTTCTTTGTTTGTTTCTTGATGCATGTGAACCTTTAATTAACAGGAATGACTTGGCATTTGAAGGCCTGGAACCACTTACTAGCACTACCATATCAGAGTCACTCATGTAGAAGCAATCATAAGAATTTCCACAGTTTACAGTTTAGAAAGACTAACTGCTGGCTAACCAGCACAGGTTAGCAGGAAATAGCCACTCATCTCCCCCCATTTGGTCAATGATAACTCAAAATGGCATTTTGGTTAAAGAATGAAATACATGCAACTGATTCCTCAATATCTAACCTGCTTTTATAAATGGCAGAGAACAGCAGGGGATCATTCATAATGAAAAGTAGGAAGTAAAAGAAATATATAATTTCAACCTAAACTGTGCTGTGACTCAATGACATTCATTTATTAGATGGCATATGCCAAAATTTTATTAAAGCCTATACATATTGAAGAATTTTCACAGTTGAAAATTATTTCCTAGTCCTTTTTAGAGTATCACCTTTCCCTGTTCATAAGGTCCATATATACATTTTCATTCTCCAAATACTCAACCCTACCTTCCATAATTTTGTTTCTTCATGTGTTCCCATGCTGCCCGGGTTACTAGGAATGAGCCTCGCAAATGAATTCTATGGATTAGATCTAAAACAAGAAATTACTTTTATTATACATTTTCTCACAAGATAGGGATATGTCAGACTCAATACAAGCAATAATGGTCTACTTACACAAAGATTTACAACCTATAATTAGTATTCACAATCACCTGTTGGCACCTCTCTCTGAGAATACTTATAACTACTTTTTTACTATTGCAATTAGGATAACAATCAGTGGTTCACACTGAGACTTGCACCAGTGTTCCCTCTATCTACAACAGTACAACAAAAAAATCCACAACTAAAACCAAACCAGTGTCAATAATTATGCAAATCTAAATACAATGTTAGCTTTCTTTATAGATAAATTAACTAGTATGAATTACCAAGAATTTTACATATGTAATGCAGCTCTAATCATTAAGTAAAAAAAAAAAATCACAGTTCCTCATTAAGAAATATTTACAAAATACTCACTGTATTCTTGGTTTTTTTAGCACTGTTTGTAAATGAGTTGAGAGAAGTCTATTCTGATGGATTCAAATCTAAGTAAGAGATTCTTAAAGGAATGTTCTGATGGATAAGCAACACTAGAATTAATTCTATTCTTTAATCATCAAGGTTTTCAACTATCCTTATTTATCTGTGATTCATTCTAGAGCCTGAGAAATATTATCATTTGCATATAAGAAGTCAGGAAGGAAAAAACCAGACAGGGTACTCGGGAGTGGTCTTTGGAACCAGAAAAGAAGAACCCCCCAAAAAACCTCCAGGAAAGCAGCAACATAATCTCCCCTTTGTCAACACATTCATCTGCCTGGGCTTCTTTATGGGAAGAGGAAGCTAAAAGCATCTTTTTTGCTTAATACTAAATCACAGAGGCAATCTGCTTTTTTAAAAAAACAAACAAAACCACAAAAACCCGAACACTTTTTCTTTTTTGTAAGTGTAAAATTTGATTATTATCTTAACTCAATGTTAATGTCTAGAATTCTTAATGGAAATCTTGACTGTTTATTAGGTGTTTCAAAATCATCTTGATTTTGTTTTTATACTGTGTTCTCAAACCATCATGATTTTTAGAATCTCGGGCTCTTATTCATATACTACTCTAGTTGTTTTTTTTAAAAAAAAAAGAATCTCAGCTAAATTAAATGTGCTAAAAGACAACAGCATTTGTCACTGGGTTGTCCAGTGAAACTAGCTTCTACAGTCCCTATGCGACAGAGGAGAAGTGTTCCACAGCACTTCCTGGGCTGTAACCTTTATGGAGGAGGTATCTTTTCCTCCACAGAGCTCTTGGAAGATTTGAACAGTCAAGGGTTTTGCTTAGCAATCACAAACTTAACCATTGGACCACCAGTGTTCTTTCTAAAAACTACTAAATCAAACCAAAAATCACTGAGTCTGTTTCAAGGCATAGTGACAACTCAGTTTCCAAGGCTGTAAACCCTATGAGAGAAGACTGTCCGTTAACTAATGACTTTTAGGTTAGCAGTTCTATATATTATGCACGGCATCACCAGAGCTCCTTAAAATGTTACTAGGTGGAGTCAATAATGTTAGAAAACACTGATAACTTCATAAGGAATGACTTTTAAAAATAAAATGGAAGGGGAAAAAAATCCTTTTAGATAACACCTGCCAAATCATTTAACATTTTTTAGATATCTATTATTTTTTTAAAAAAAGATAACTTCCAACTATTTTCAGTACTGAAATGTTTTCATCATTTAGATTACTATCAACAAAAGTAAGAAAAATGTTTGCTTTAGATGTATAAATTTATCAACTACAAATGAAATGTAAATGGACAGTTATGCTCCACAGAGCATAACAACTTATTACAACAACTTACCCCAATCTTCATCACTTGTCCTAGCAAAAGATCGGTCCCTCAGAATCCTAAAAAAATTTGATTATATAGAGTAAGGAAAGGAAATGAAGCACACATTATAAAAAGAAAATGAAAGTCTACACATGAACTTAACTAAAAATTTAAAAATAAATACTCACCCAGCATTGTTGATCACAACATCTGCAATAAAAAAACAAAAGTTATAAGTATAAAAGAACTCATATTCATTTGCATTTGCAGACAACTCATATTTCTTTCCAAACTGAAATATACTAAATACATAGAGAAAATATACTGAGTAAAGCAAAGTTTTGTGACTATAGCCAAAAGAAAATTATCTACGAGTGTCATTCATAACTCCTTCCTCTCAAACTTTGTATCTAATTGTTTTCCACCTCCACCATCTATTGGAATTCTAACAGCTTATTTCTATTTTCTGTGTGCAATCTGAGGTTCTCTGGTTGTAATGAAACCTTTCATTTAATCTCCAAACTCGCTCAGAAATTTAAAAGTATGAAAATTTTTCCATGCCACTCAAAAGTCGCAAGTCCAGAAAGGAAGTCTTCAGAGTTAGAAATTGATACATTATCATAATACAGAAATCTGTATTTTCTACATAAAGAACCAAATTTTTTTAAAGGTTTCACTGTGGCGCCATCTTGTGGCTATTTCACCTTACTACTTCATATTTGTAGTCTCTTCCCACTGTCAGGTGATAGGCCACAGACTGGTATGTTCAACCAAACAAAATTAGAAAAATAAATATGCTAGCAGGAGAAGAGTGTTGAATATACCATGGACTGCTAGGAGAACAAACAGGTTTATCCTGGAGAGGGTGAAGCTGGAATGCTCCATGGAGTCAAGAATTCTGAAGTTTCGTCTGACATACTTGGGGCATATTAGCAAGGAGGTACTGGTCCTTGGAGAGGGACATCATGTTTGAGAGAGTGGAGGGACAGCATAGGAGAGGAAGACCCTCAATGAGATGGATCGATTCTGTGACTAGGGTGGTGGGAGTGAGTGTGTCAGAGACTTATCTACAATAATATTTCCCTTTATTAATGTAATAATCTTTTAATTAAAATTGTATGACACTAAACCAGAAAGATTATCTAGAGATTGATAAATTGAAAATATTTTTAAATATTCCATTAGGAAGATTTATAAATACAATTAAGCTTAATTAATTTTCATGATACTGAAACATTTAACCCTGAATCATTGTAATTACCCAAAAGAACTCACTGGGTCTTTTATTCCCATATGACTGATTTAATTTTTTTTCTTTTATAAACATATTCGAAGTTTAACTAAATTAGTAAAAGGATACTGAGAGAATATTTGAAACATTTTTAAAGCACTTAAAATGCATAAAACCATATTGAAATCTTAAAAAACCATATAAACATTGTCACTACAAGTATGGTAGTGTTGTAAAAGAAGGAGTTGGTTAATAAACACTAGTAAAATTCACTTATTTTGTAAGGAAGGTAGAAGTTGCACCACTAGGACCATAAACTCAAAGGCCATAAACTCAAAGAAACATCACCTATTTTTCCAAAAGCATCCAATGCTGTCTTCACAAGTTTCTCTCCTGCTTCCACTGAATCTGAGCAGAAAGTGAAATTAGTACAATATGTCAGTAATCTCTCTCAAAAATGACCTCTACCCTGAGTATCAGGATATGTAACACTATATATAAAGGAACTTATTCCCAAGAAAAACAAGTATATACTACAGATACATAGCAAGTCAAAATACAGATGGTGTAATGTAACAGAAGAAATGTAGCCCCTAAAATAACTCTCTAATTTATAAAATAGGAGGGGAATAAGGATGAATAAGAAATATTTAGTAGATAACTATATAATAGCACTGTCTAATAAAATTTTGCATAATAATGGGAAGAAATCCCTGGGTGGCATAAACAGTTAAGTTCCCAAATGCTGGCTGCAAATCTGGTGGTCGGAACCCACACAAGGGTGCCCTGGAAGACAAGCCTGGCAGTCGGCTTCCAAAAGGCCTCGGAAAGCTTATTGAGTGAATCTACTTTGCAGATAAGAGTCACCCTGAGTCAGAACTGAGTGGTTCTTAACTAAAACAGCATACATATTTGAGAAGATTAGCAGGTTATATATAACATGATTGAGTATACAGAGTGAGATCTAGAGGCTAGATAAGGAAATGGAGCATTTTATATCTTATACTACATTACGTCAGCTTTCAAAACATCTTAAAAATAGTAACTAAAACATTATTCTATAAAAATACACAAAATACTTTAACTAGAACAGATTTTGAGGAAAAAATCTATATCCACATATACAATGTTACTGATTATATCAAACATTCATTGTTTTTTAAAAAACTAAGCAATTGAAAATGTTAGCATTATATAAAATAAGATCGACACAATGTAGAGCTATACAGCTCTGGTCAACTTAGATAAAAACTAATTTCATAACTATACAGGAATGTTGAGATATATGGCCAGTTTTTATCAATATAAGCAAAATCATTAGCTGAAAAGAAACAAAAGAAACAGGCTATTCTTTCAAATACCATACCATAGTTGGCCACTGCTTTTCCACCTTTCCTTCTTATTTCTTCAACAACTTTATCAGCAGCTACAGAGCTTTTACCACCTCCTTTAGTGTCTCCTCCTAAATCATTCACTGCAATGGAAAAAGAACAATGTGAGGGGGGAAAAAAATCTTTGGAAATTTGGTCAGTTATTTCTTAAAAGAAAAATTAGTATCACTTTTATTTATTAATAGACTATATTGTACTCATCACATTTAAACTTGTGTAAAAAGTTACGCTATTATTATTTCTTAATCATGATGTAATTTCCAGACCTTCAAGTAGTTTAAATTGAAATTCTACTAGTGTCTTTCTTGAGTCATTTGTCAAATCCCTAACTTATTCAATACCTAATCTTGCTAATTACCCTCTTTTTCAAAATTGAAACTCATTGCCATCAAGTTAGAACCAACTCAGAGCTGACCCTAGAGTAGGTTTTCAAAGGCTGGAAATCATACAGGAAGAGACTATCCATCTTTGTCCCGTAAACAGCAGGTGGATTCAAACCACCTGCTTTTGGGTTGGTAGCAAAATTCCATATCCACTAGGCCACCAGAGCTCCTAAATACATTACAGGACATGTACTTTCAAACCATGCCTTTGTTTTTAAATAGAGATAAGGCAACAACACAAAATTAATTAAGAAATATAAGTTCATATTATGAAATGCCTAACTTAGCTCTGAGTTTTCTTTTTTGGAAAAAGGGGAAAAAATATTCAAACCATTTTTTAGTCATCAAATAATCAGAAAACCTGAAAAAATAAATTAAGCACAGAACATAAATTTTCTTCTCTGTGTCAAGAACATCTGTTTATGGGAATGTTGATTAACATCAGGATCTTAAACTACTGAACAATAAATAAATACATGTGTAAATTTTCATATAATGCAATGTATCATGGTCTCAGGAGAAATAAAAATATTTACTATTGGAAACTTTACTTTATCTTCCCTCACTATCCTCTGAAATCTTCTGTTCAACTCCTTAATATCTTGATTTCTTCCCTTTGCTTTGGCTTCCCAGCGCCCCAATGTAATATTTAGAGATTCTTCTGACATCCATCTTGGTCTTTTTCTTCCTTCTCTGCCTTTGTAATGATCTTTTGCATTCTTCCTGGATGATATTCTTGATATCCACCCACAGCTCATCTGGTCTTCACTCATTAATTTCCAAGCGCTTGCTGCAAAAGGTCAAGGATTGCAGCCTTCAATATTGATTGAAGCTCAACACTCTTGGTACCAGTAGCCAGGAAATTAAAAGATGAATGGCATTGGGAAAGTCTGTTGTCAGAAACCTTTCTATGGTACTGAGAAGCAATGATGTCAATCTGAAGACTAAGGTGCACCTGATACAGGCCATGGTCTTTGCCATTACTTGGTATGCTTCAGAGAGCTGGACAATGACTAAGGATGATAGAAGGAGAGTTGATGACTTTGAACTTTGGTGCTCGAGAAGAGTATTGAATATACCATGGACTGCTAGGAGAACAAGTTTGTCCTGAAGAGGGTGAAGCCAGGCTGCTCCTTGGAGGCAAAGATTCTGAAGCTTCATCTGACATATTCTGGACATGATGCAAGGACGGGCCAGTCCTTGGAGATGGACATCATGCTTGGAAGGGTGAAGGGAAACACAGGAGAGGAAGACCCTCAATGAGGTGAACTGATTCCATCACTAGGGTAATGGGGATAGGAGTGTTGGAGACAGTGAGATTGGCAAGGGATGAGCAGGGTTTAGGGCTGTTGTACAAAGGGTTTCTATGAGTTGCAAGTGATTCAACAGCACATAACAACAACAACAATGGAAACGAAAAAAAAAATTTATTCACTTATACCTTGTCCTATCCTTATACAAGGGTCCACACTTGCTCTTGGTCATGTTATTGTTAGGTGCCATCAAGTAGAGTATGACTCATAGCAACCCTATGAACAACAGATCTAAGCCCTACCCTATCCTGTGCCACACTCACAATCTCTGACACAGACCACACCATTGCTGCAGTCACTGTGTCAATTTCTGTTAGAGAGGCTTCCTCTCCTTCACCATCCCTCCACTTTCCTAGGCATAATGTCCTTCTCCAGGGAATAGTCTCTCCTAGTAACATGCCCAAAGTATTCAAGATGAAGTTTCGTCATCTCTATACCTCAACCATCCACCAGCAGTTCATCAGCAAACAAAGGGCCAAATTCCTCTCGTGATTTATGACCTCAAAAACCCAAAAAAAGATCAGCATTGAGTTGGTTCCAATTCAACTGCAATGAGTCTGAATCACACAGCAATGAAAAGGTCTCTTTAAATCAAAATTATTTTCGCTTTAATAATTACTTAAGAATAATAAATGAGCACTTATGATTTATAAGAAAACCACCAGAGGTACACATAGATGTATAAAATTAGCATCTACTCTATTAAAAAGTTTATACTTTATTCAAATTTAATTACATGATGAACATAGCAAACAATATTTAAGTTAAATTAAAGGTCAATGTAACTAAATACAAGTAGTTTACAATTTACAACCTATTTTTGTATTTGGCTACAACCAATCTTTTTTGTTGATTTGTTTGTCTATCTTATTGTTGGTACTATGTACTAAGGACAATGTCGTAGCACATAATGTGCAAATGTCAACTTATTTCCAAATTCTCAGAGACAAAAATCAGATTTACAAATATAATAATAATAAGGAGTAGTAATAGCCTCGAGATACTGTTTTAATATGGAATTTAAACCACTCCACTGGCACCTTCTGGCAAAAATAATAGACTGGCCTAGATAAACAATAGCACTCATGAGGAATGTGCTCCTTTAAACAATCAGCTAAATGAAACAAATGAGTCAACATTAATACAAAAGCAAAGATGAGGAGGCCAAGAGGGCTGGAAATAGAAATGATGCTGAAACAGTGAGTGTGACATATTAGGGATTCTAAAAAATATCACAGAGCAAAGAGACCGGTCCTTGGAGAGGGACATCATGCTTGGGAGGGTGGAGGGACAGCGCAGGAGAGGAAGGCCCTCTATGAGGTGGATTGATTCAGTGACTGGGATAATTGGGATGGGAGTGTCAGAGACAGTGCGATTGGCGCAGGACAGAGCGGAGTTTAGGGCTGTTGTACATAGGGTCGCTATGAGTCGCAAGCAACTCGACGGCACATAACAACAACAACAACAACATTATAGTTTCAGCAGTTCATTTTCTTTTCTGCAATAAGTGAATGCTACAAAGGCACAAATTAATGGAAGGAGGTTTACGTTATCTCTTGTTATATTAAAAAGAAAAAAGACAATTCCTGCAATGGTTCATTTTCAAACAATTCCTGAAATGACAGGATATGACCATTTTTTAAAAAATAATCAAGATTTTAAAACACGCAAATCTCAGTCTTTCATATCACTTTTAAAGACAAGACAGGAAACTTCAAATGCACACAGGCAAATGCAGGATTTCAGAAAGAATTGTTCACTTTTGCAATGAAATAATGCCACCAAGTGGAAAGTATACAAACTGCAGCAAAAGAAATAAACACTAAATCCTCGATATTGAGATCAAAACCACGCAGGAAAACAGTATCAAAATAAAATTATACAAAGCAAGTTTCTACTTTGCTGTTGTGGTCATATGCCATTGAGTTGATTCCAAATAACAGTGACCCTGAAAGACAGTGGAACTGTCCTAGTTTCCTAACCATTACAGGAATTCCCCAGGTCTTTCTCCCCTGCAACCACTGGTGGGTCCCAACAGCTGAGCTTTCAATCACAGCAGAATGCTTAGTCACCAATCCGCCAGGGCTCCTCAGTCTCTACATTACCACTGTCTTTGGGTTGAGTCCAAGTCACAGCAAATCCTCCAAAGCAGTAAATCTTTATAGCAGGCAATTTCTACATTCAGGAGCATTAAATTTACACTAACCCTATTCAGTCATCCCACTGAAACCACACTAATGGAAAATTTTAATTATAAAAGTACTAGTTTGAAGTTCTGAAGGACTTGGATAGCAGCAATGTTAAATGATTTACAGGGGGTTTTAAGCTCTGGTGGCATAAGTCAATAGAGACTTTCCCTAACCAAAAGGCCATGCATTTCCAATAGTTCAAATCCACCAGCGAATCTGTGAGAGTAAAATGACGAGTCTCCTCCCATGTGAGTAACAGCGTGCGAAAACACAATTGAGTCAGAACTGGACTCGACAGTAATTAAGTTTGAGTCCTTAGGATATAAGAAGAAATGTAGCTTATATGATGATGTTACAAGCATAAAATGTGTAACAAAAATTTTAAATTATAATAAAACAGGAACAATAAGAATACCAATACAATTTTATTGCTTGGTGTGAAGTTTGCATTTTCAAAGAACCTTTACATGCACTGTTGCACTTACATAATATCCATACAGTGCTATAGGGGATAACAGTTTTGGAAAAGGTTGGGTAACTTGCCACAGGCTCCAAGGCTATTTGAAGTAGCAAAACCTAGGCCTACTGCCAAACTACTCAGCCATTGTAAAGCTGCAAGTAAATTTCTTTTATCCCCAAAACACACATTACTTCCACTAAAGAAAAATTATCACAATTGTTTGGAGAAGGACTAGAAAAATTATAAACCAGTCACTCCATCCAAACAAGCAGCTTTAAAAGACGGCAAAACCCTGGAATAATACCAGAATGCTCCCTGGAGGCAATGATGGTGACATTTATCAGGAGGGACCATCCCCTGACAAGAACAGGATGCTTACTTAGTAAGGTAGAGGGTCAGGGGAGAAAAAAGGAAGATCTTCACCAAGATGAACAGCACAGTGGCTGTGACAGTGGGCTAAAACACAGCAAACCGTGGGGAGAGACAGCGTTGGGCAGGTTTCATTCTGTTGCATAAAGTGTGGTGAGGTGTCAGAATGCATTCACTGGTTCCTAAATAACATACAAGATGTCTTGTTAATAGGACTATTATTCAAATATTTACACCGACAATGAAAGCCAAAGAAGAGGAAAGAGAAGATTGTCTACCAACCTTTGCAGTACAAGATTGATCAAACATTCAATCAAGATGCATTAAGTATTATTAGCAAGTAGAAAACAAAAGTTGGGAACAATGAGG